TGGTGAAGTGTACGACAGTACATAGTACTGGGGAAGCCAGCACAACCTGTACGAGGAAAGGTCATGGAAGCTCCACAGACACATCCAAACTCCCTGATGGACTGAATTGCTGGGTGGAGGGCCGTGGGGACCATGGTCTTGGGGAACATCTAGCTCAATTGGCATAACACAGTTTATAAAGACAATGTTCTACATTCTACCTTCGTGAGTAGCATCTGGGGTCTTAAAAGCCTGTGAGCAGCCATCTAAGATACTCTGCTGGTCTCACCCCTTCAGGAGCAAGGGAGAATGAAGAGAATAGGATACAAGCAAAAGATTAGTCCAAAGGACTAATGGACCACAGCTACCAAGGCCTCCACCAGACTGAGTCCAGTACAGCTAGATGGTGCCCAGCTACCACCACTGACTGCTCTGACCAGGATCACAAGAGAGGGTTTTGGATAGAGCTGGAAAAGGATGTAGAACAAAATTCTAACACACGAAAAAGACCAGATTTACTGGCCTGACAGAGACTGGAGAAACCCCGAGAGTATGGCCCCTGGGCACCCTTTTAGCTCAGTGGTGAAGTCACTCCCAAGGTTCACCGTTCAGCCAGGGATTGGACAGCCCCATAAAACAAAACGGGACTAATGAGGCATAGCAGTCCAGGGACAAGGACTAGAAGGCAGGAGGGGACAGGAAAGCTGGTGACAGAGAACCCAAGGTTAAGAAAGGACAGCGCTAACATGTCATGTGTTTGTTAACCATTGTCAAAGGGCAATATGTGTACTAACTGTTTAATGAGAAACTATTTTGTTCTGTAAACCTTCATCTAAAGTACAAAAAAAAATTATCTATGTGAGATCAAATTGACAACACCAACACAAATGGTTTGATGGGAAGCCTAGGGGACAGTAAGTTGAAGACAATGGTGATGGAATAATTTGGAAAAGGATAGTGAGAATAGCAGTACAACCGGAAGAACGTAACTGATGTCACTGAATTGTATCGGTAGAAATTTTTGAAATGGTGTATCTTTGGCTGCGTATATTTTCACCAAAAAAAAAAAAAGTCCTTCAAGGTCAAGAACGGAGAGTGTTGACATGTTGTAAGTTTGTTAACCAATGTCATAAAACAATATGTGTACTGTTTAATGAGAAATTATTTGTTCTGTAAACCTTTACCTAAAGCACAATAAAATTTTTTTTTTTTTAAAGGCAAGTTGTGCAACTGTAGTGCCTATCCTTTTTCCTAAGCTGATTCTCCAGCTTTCCCAGCAGTTCTGGGAACAAACATGATTGCAATAAACTCCTATTCTGTTTAAATCAGCTGGTCAATTTCAGTTGCTTAAAACTAAGAACTCTGACTGATACAAGGTACAGATCAGCTTCAGGGAGTTCATGACCACTCCAAAATAATGACCATAATAATCTGACTACACCTCAACAAAAAGAAAACAAAAATCCTCACAACTGGACTAATAAGCAACATCATGATAAATGGAGAAAATATTGAAGTTGTAAGGATTTCACTTTACTTGGATCCACAATCAACGCCCACAGAAGCAGCAGTCAAGAAATCAACTGACGAACTGCATTGGGCAAATTTGCTGCAAAAGGCATCTTTAAAGTGTTAAAAAGCAAAGATGTCACTTTGAGGACTAAGGTGCACCTGGCCCAAGCCATGGTATTTTCAGTCTCCTCATATACATGCGAAAGCTGGACAATGAATAGGGAAGACCAAAGAAGAATTGATGCCTTTGAATTATGGTGTTGACAAAGAATACTGAATATACCATGGGGACTGCCAGAAGAATGAATAAATCTGTCTTGGAAGAAGTACAGCCAGAATGCTCCTTAGAAGCGAGGATGACGAGACTTCGTCTCACATACTTTGGACATGTTATCAGGAGGGACCAGTCCCTGGAGAAGGACATCATGCTTGGTAAAGTAGCGGGTCCGTGAAAGAGAGGAAGACCCTCAACAAGATGGATTGGCATAGTGGATGCAACAATGGGCTCAAGCACAGCAATGACTGTGAGGATGGTGCAGGACCAGACAGTGTTTTGTTCTGTTGTACACAGGGTCACTATGAGTCAGAACCGACTCAATGGCACCTAACAACAACAACACTGCTATGGTTAAGAGCATGAAATCTAGATCTTAGTTGTTTAGATTCAAAATACAGTGATTTCAATTGTCAAAGTCAACATCAACAGTGATAAGACATGTTAATGGTATGTACTTTTGATATGATGTGATGAAAATGGCATTTTTTCATCTCGTCTTTTCCCCCAAAACCCATAACCCCAGTCTAATCATGAGAAAAACATAAACACTTGACCAGTACTCCTAAAAATGTCATGGTCATCAAAAACAAGGAAAGTTTGAGAAACTGTCACAACTAAGAGGAACCTAAGGAAACATGATGACTAAATGTAATGGTATCTTGGATAGGATCCTGGAACAGAAAAAGAACATTAGGTAAAAACTAAGAAAATCTGAATAAAGTATGGACTTTAGTTCATTGTATTGTATCAATACTGGTTCATTAATTGTAACAAATGCACCATGTTAATAATAGGTGAAACTGGGTGTGATGTATATAGGAACTCTCCATACTATCTTCTCAATTGTTCTGTAAATTTAAAACTGTTCTAAAAAATAAAGTGTATTTTTAAACTGCACTATTTTACTTCCTAAACTTGAGCAAATTACTTAGCCTTCCTGTGGCTCATCTGCCTCACCTGTAAAATTAGAATGATAATAGCAACCTAGCTCAAAATTCTTTTGTTAAGACTAAATGAGTTAATATAGTAAAGTGCTTAGAATAGTGCCTGGCAGATAGTAAGTACCCAGTATTAGCTATTATTATTTTTGAATATTTGTAAGTGCAGTAACATTTTACAAAAATTGATTTAAGAAACTGGAAGCAGTCTGATACATAAAATACTAAAGTCTAACTTTATAGACAAATTTTGAAATAATGAGTCCCCCAATTAAAAATATGTCAAAAATCACATAATTTCAAAGCTGTTAAGTCAGGTGAAGTGTAAAGTGTACTTGCACTACTGACACATGGTGGGTAACTTTAGCTAGTAAACTTGCTAGCCCTAGTAAGAATACATCCTGAATTAAGGTCTTTAGGAACCCATTGCTCATATAAAAGGTGACTTACTACTCTGTTCCTTACGGTCTAAAATTCCTCACGGTGTAATCAAACAAACTTTGTATTTGAGTACCAAAATGACTCAGATGACTCCCATGGAGGTAAGATGGCTAAGTTACAGACCCAAGATCAAAGTTAAAAAAGATGGGAAACTTTTGTATCACTTGGATGGGTAGCCGCAGAAATTACCAGAAGTCTAAGGCTCAGGCAGACATGTCTCCTAGCCAGAACACAACTGATGAAACATATTACCAACATATGATGCCTCTTAACTCCTGCTTTAAATTGTCCAGATATATTGTGCGTATCATGATTGTGAGTATGCAAAATCACTCAGCTGTCGTGCCCTTTGTAATAACTCAAAATTTCAGTCTTAAGTTCTGAGATCTATGTAAATATTATGATGGCTTAAATAAGAAATTCTCAGGATATCATATCTATTTTCCCATTATATCTTTAATATTTTAACATATCAAGCTAGAACATACTAAAAAAAATACTTACTGTGTTTTATTATTTGAAAATACTATATAAGAAAAAGAATTGTTTCCAAGTTATATTAAAAAATTTGATGAATGTCAGTGTAACTTCTTTTGACATAACAGTGATAAGCTTTGATTTGTTTACAATAAAAGGGCAACTACTGAGAGACTGCTCACTTAATCAAAATGCTGATGGCAAATAAATGTATTCTATGACAAAGATCAAAGACTCAGAGCCAGAGATTTGAAGGAAGATGGGAGAATTAGGTATATTTAATCTAGAAAAAAATGCAGAAGTGTACACACAAATGACATTTATAAAATCTAAAATGTCTGTTTTTTCTTTTCCATAAGATGTTAAGATCAAAATTTCAAATCACTGGGAAATACTAAATTGCCTTGACATATTTCTCCCTCTTATATCTAAGATATCAGAGATATTTCCTTTCAATGCATTTATTTTTGACACAATATTTTAAGAATAGTTTGGTTACTGCAGATGTGAATCATTTACTCCTGTCTTATTTTACTTTTTATCAGTCTTCTTGATTAGCATTTTTTCTAGGTTTTTAGAATATCATTTTCATATTTTTTATATTCTATAAAGTGTCAATTTCACATTCTTCAGCAAAAAAAAGCAATATTTTTTTCTTTCATAATGAATATCCCATTAAGATATGTTAGCATAGATACTAAAGAATAAACTAATTTAATTTTAGTAATCATTGGTGGTACAGTGGCTAAGTGCTCAGCTAAATGAAAGGTCCGTGGTTCAAACCCACTAGTGGCTCCAAGAGAGAAAGACGTGGCAGTCTGCTTCCGTAAAGATTATAGCCCCAGAAACCCTATGGGGCAGTTCTACTCTATCCTATAGGGTGGCTATGAGTCAGAATCAACTCGAAGGCACTGGGTTTGGGTTTTAATCATTAGCTATGTAAACTACCTTTGTGGTAAAGACACAAATTATAGTGACCAATCTCTCCACCATTATACCTGTATATAAATTTTATACGACAGATGCGTAATCTCTTCAGGTAGTAGATACATGTTAAGATTTTCATAACCTATGCTGCTAAATGAATTAATGTTTTGTTGTTTCTAATTTTAGAAAGGAATGTTAAAATACTCAATACACTGTATTGATTTTCAAATGGAAACATTATTACTCTTTCGTGTCTCATGAAAGGATAATCCATGAACCTTTTACCACATAAATTATTCTTCTTATGGCAACAAGTCTCCAAATAAAATATAAAACAATGAAACCACATTAACTCAACTGATCGCCAATTAAAATTATTAGTGGCTCCTATTCCCTTAATGTCAAATCATGAACTATTTTTTTAATGTTTAAATAAATACACTATTTACCTATGTAAAGATATTCTCCTTTCTCCCTTACACAAATGATTACAGATGACTGGTCTACATTAATCATCATTCCAGTACCACACTTCAGAATTCCATATTCTCAAGGTTAGAAGAGGAAAAGGTCGTAAACATCCCCAAGAGACATTTGAATATATGAACTCATTTTGTCTCAGTTCCTTGTGATACCTATATTAATAATACACAACTTACAAATTACAAGTGTTATCAAAACCTGTGAAGAAAATTTAAAAAGAATCCAGTAATCAAACTGGAAAAACAAGTTTCTCATACCTTCAATATTTCAAAATAAATACTTTCAAGTGAAGACGAATCAGAAAGGTGACTTCCATGCTGTAGCTTGTTACATAATGTTATAATAGTTTAAACTAATAAGAAAATCCATTTCAAAGATAAAGCTAGATCCCAAGGGTAAAGATGGATAAAGTCATTATGAAATTACCAATTTTTTCTTTTAGTCTCCTCTAACTCATTTCCCCTTTTTCTTGCCCCATTTTCACCATTTGACCACATCTAGCCCCTCTATGTTCCTTTAACACTCCTGAAAGAATGTCCTTCCTTTGCCTAAATAGTCAGCATAAACTGCAGTAATAGTGAAGGTAACAAGAATTATTAACTGTCATCTTACAAAAAGACATGTTACTGTATTCTTTGTATTCGTGTGGGGAGCTGCAACATAGACAGGACAAAGAGAAATAACCATTAAGAAAAATATTATTGACAATGACAATGGCGTAAAAAAAACCTGATAACTACAATGTGCATCTCCCTGTAAACCCTTTAATCTTCATTAAAACTAAAGATAACTTTATAATCTGTTGTAAACTAAAATGCCATAAAATTTTATACTATAGAAATGTCTTCTTTAGTTTTGCTATGACTATAGAAGGTAAATGAATGAGGCAAACCTAAGGCAATGATGCATAAAATTGCTACTATAAATTATTTTTAAAGCAAAGCCAGATCTATATATGGAACACAAAGTATTTCAAAATGAATGCTGTTGTCTTCATAATTTTACATGATTAATATTACACCATTTTTAAAAATCCTAGCAAAAGTACCACATGTTCATACCAAGACATTTTAAGTGCATGTATGGAGATGTACATATATATAATCATAGATTATAAATAATAAATACTAAATTATTTTAAAACATCATAGAGACAATCCCCCCACATCCCATTTCTAACAATAAGAAAATAACCTGCATGAACTGGAATCAGATTCATTTTCTTCTTCACTAGTGCCATCATCCACTTCTGGTCTATCCAGCCAATGTGCACCGCCACAATCTTCTGTTGTAAACTCAAATGCAGGGACTTCAGAGGTGGATGCCATTGGCCAAGAAGGTGAATTCTGAAAATCCAGTTGGCTGGACCTTCGGTAACCAATTGAAGCCAAAGGCAACTGTAGGCTACATGGATCTAAAAACTTTCTCCCACCGTTTGCTCCAGTCTGTCCTCGATTCCAAAATTCTCCCTGCTGGCTGTCAACTGCAGAATTAGGAGATGATGCTTGATGGCCAAACCACCTCCATCTGATTTTCAAAATCTGCTTCACATCAAACTCTTTACGAGAACCAGACATCCTGAGAGAAACCAAGTGATCGTCTAGGCAACGGGCAAAAATCACTGCACAGATTTGTGCATCCAACCAAGACAAGAGAAGTATTTGCCCTGCTGTACACAACAAACAGATTTAAAAGAAAATAAATCACATTCACACATATATCTACATTTACTTTTATACCAGTATATCACATTATAAAGAACAAAGGATAATGAATAAAGATGAAACACGGTGGAACATTCCGTTCAATGAGAGCAAACTCTCATCCACCTATCCTGAAGCAGCCAGACCACTTTCTTCTGCTCTCCTTTCCCATACTGACCATTAGCTCTCACAAACACTACCAGCATTCATTAAAGTCCTTTCAAATGCAGAACACCACCCCCTTTCCTTAAACCACAACTGACAGACAGAAGCACTATCCCCAAGCAGTATCTCCGTCTTTACTGCTTACTATATTAACTCTTTTATTGCTGAAACAAATTTATTCTAAAGCATTTTCCTTTGTACTTAAAAATCACTTTAAAATGTTTCTGTTTTTTATACTAAATTTCTACACGAGTATCACGAAACAATAGTTTTCAAAAAGCATTTTTTATCTAGATGAGTTACAGTGATTTTCAAGCTGTGCTCTTGGGATGGGGTGAGGAGGTAGGAGTAGTAAGAAGGTGGGTCTCCAGATTGTCTCCTTCCACCTTTATTTTCTCCCTTTGACCAAAAAAAGAATATATCTAATTAATAAGTTAGATCCTGGGTAAGATTTCATTTGAACTAAGAATGAGAATAAAGAAAAAGTTTGAAAACTACAAAGGATCAAAATATGACAGCATTTACTCATTTTCAAATAAACAGCCTAAAGCCAATATTGCTCTATAATTAGCACTGAGCCACTTCCATTTAGTATAATATCCAAATTTCTATGAAACTAAGAAAAAGGGAAGTGTGGCTCAAGGAAGGTATCAAGGGCTGGGATGGGACTACAAGTACCCTGTTGGTCTCTACAAGTACCCTATTGGTGCCCTCTGTTGCTAGCAAAGAAGCCCTGGTGGCAAAGTGGTTAAAGCACTCAGCAGCTAAACCAAAGATCTGCAGTTCAAACCCACAAGCCGTTCTGCGGGAGAAAGATGTGGCAGTCTGCTTCTGTAAAGAGTTACAGCCTTGGAAACCCTATGGGACATAGGGTCGCTACGAGTTGGGATCGACTCGATGGCAGTGGGGTTTTTTGGACTGTTAGCAAAACAAAACAATGATCTGGACATGGTTACAGTTAAGGCAAACTGATAAAGCAAATAAAAATCAATCGAATGCAGTCAAATTTTAAACATATTTAGTAGTTGTGAGCACGGCATTCTACTAGGTATGTGGGGAAACACATATACATCATGGTCCCTACCCTCAAAAGAATTAAGTCTAGTTATCGAAACATAAACATACTGATTAAGTTAAATGTAAGAAACATTACTATGCTGCAATATTAAAATTCTGTGATCTACAAATACAGAATTTGAATTTTCAGGGTACTCAATGTCTAACACTGTATCAAATAATTTCACTCGAACGGCAATACCTAATTAGATGACCAAAAAAACTGCTTTGGGGGCTTACAAAAATATTGTGAATCATATATTTTAACCTCACACAGCTCTTCAGGAGAATAAAAATACAAATTATACAGAGAAAAAAAGAATGGGAGGCATGAAAAGCCATGTACTATTTTGTGCTAAATGGTGTGGTACAAACCATAAATACTATAAGAAAGACAAAAGGGATTATCAGGGTGATGTGGGCCAGTTTCATTAGGGAAAAAGGGCCTCTAAAAATAATAAGTTGTTGAGGCAGAATGATAATGGATTTTATAAACGAATAAAGATATTAATAAAAGCATGCAGTAAGCATATTGACAGGGAAAGAAAGGGAAGTATCAGTTTTATCAGCCAGCTAGCCATACTTAATTTTAAGGAGTAGTAAGATAAAGTTGGACGGCAGGATGAGATAAACTGCCTTGAGCAAAGGTGTAAAGACTAGCAGGCAATATTAAGTGGACTGACGAATAGGGTCGTGTTTTAGGAAATTAATTTGGCAGCAGTATGCAGGATGCATTAGAAAGTGAAAGGACAATTTTCCCTCTCCTCTCACCTCTGTCAGACTCCTATCAACAAAACTCCACTCTATTTATCCAACTTTATTTCTATTTTCCAACATAGACACATCACTTTGTCAGTTAAGACAGAGTGTATATTCATTGCTCCCTCTTCTTGTAATGATGTTTGTGTCCCGATTTCTCTGGTTTTAAAATCCTACTCATTCTTCAAATACCTTTAGCTCAGGTACTTAACCAGTTGCCGCTGAGTCGACTCCAACTCATGGCGACCCCATACGTGTCAGAGTTGAATTGTGTTCCATAGGGCTTTCAGTGGCTGATTTTTTTCAGAAGTATATAGCCAGGTCTCTTTTCAAGGAACCACTGGGTGAATTAAAACTTTCAACCTTTTAGTTAGCAGCCAAGCACATTAATGGTTTGCACAACCCAGAGACTCCCATCCCTACAAAGGCTTATCTAATTACTCTAGACCCGTGGTTCTCAACAAGGGTAGCATCAATCCTCCACCTCCCCTCAGAAGACTTTTGGAATGGGGCGGGGGGCGGGGGGGGGGGAGGTTTGGTTGTTGCAGTGACCAGAGTGCTATAGGCATGGAGTAGGCAGGGATCAGAGACGGTAAACATCTTGCAATGCATGGCACATACCCACACAATGAAGAACTATTACTGCAATAGCCTGTAATGATCTTCCCATCACTCTCTGTCTGAATAAGTATTTACTGAGCACTTATATGTACAAGGCACCACAGGGGACCCAAAGACGAACCACAAACAGATCTTACCTCTAAAAAGTTTTAAACTTAACACTCTGGCAGAGAAAAGGATAATTAAGGGAACTTTACACAAAAGAAAAAGAACTTTAATAGATACAATTTTATATAATTTGAAACTGTATTCAACCTATTAATATGAGAGCACTTACCAGAGAGTCTGGTTACAATGTGCTAGCTCCAATACCTAGAAGTGATTTTAATTGTTGCTCAGGCAACTGATGGAAGCCTGAACTCAACACTGGCTTCACTAAAGGCCACTAGATGCCAGACATTTCTCAGTAAAATACAGAGAAGAAACCCAAAGACTTAAGGAGAAATGAATGTTAAAATGTTAAATCATGCCCCACCACCAAGAGGCTCCAAGTATCCTTTCACAAAGATGTTGAGACATAAACACTGATAAGAGATCCACTTCTTTATTGTAGTGCCTGTTCTGAATAGGCTAGAGATGCAGGTGAGAGAGAGGCCATTTAAATAGGCTTCCTAGTTTTAAAGGGATATACACCAGGATCTTGAGTTGACAAAGGCCAACTAGCAGCGCTTAACCACCACTGATATGATGATGGGCTTAGTTATATACACATATGCATACATATACACATAAAACCCCTTTTATATCAGTAGACTCATATTATGCATGCTTTTTTTCATTGGTACCTTTATTTTGTCAATCACTGTTGACATCCTGATGTATACCCTTCTACACCTTTCTCCATGTTCATAAAATCACACATTTATATACATGTATGTAGGAGCTTTTGTTATTGTTTTATAAAAGAGACATCATATTGTACACATCTTGGGGCATTTTTCTTTTTTTGCCTGTTAATGATCTAACAGTTTCCTATTATTTCATAATTATAAACCACAATTTATTCAGTTATCTCCTTACTGATGGGCATTCAGGTTGATTTCATTTTTGTTTTGGGGATTTTGTTTTTTGCTATTAGTTGACATAAACATCCTTATGGAGCTTTTATTTCTATGGATTTATTCCCAGGTATGAAACGGTGGATTGAAGGGCATGTGTATTTTTAATTTGGTAGTTTACTTTCCCAAAATTCACATTATCAAAAGCAAGCATAATTTTTCATCTCTTTTCATAGGCCGAAGAGTCAACAATGCATATTATAACTTTTTTAACCTTTTTTTTTTGGCAAGATGAGTGGATAAAAACTTAATTTGCATTTTCCAGATGACTACTGGAGCCCTGGTGCACAGTGGTTAAGCATTCAGCTGCTAACCGAAAGGGAGGCAGTTCGAATCCACTAGCTGCTCCCTGGATACCCCATGGGGCAGTTCTACTCTGCCCTACAGGGTTACAATGAGTCGGAATTGACTCAATGGCAATGGAGTTGGGTTTTTTTTGGTTTTACTGGGTTCGAACATATTTTCATAGGTTTATTGGCCATTTTGCTTTCTACTTTTCTGAACTACCTATTTATATCTTTTGCCTATTTTTCTATTGGGATGTTTGTCTCTTACTTTTCAGTATGTAGAAGCTCTTTGTATATTATTAATGGGCCGCCCAAAGCCAAGGAAGCAGAGTTGATATCATAGTGGGCTTGGAAGGTGGAGCTGAAGCCCAGGACTCAGGGGTCTCCACCTAGAATGCAGAGGGCGTGGCCAACAGGATTATTTTCAAGCCTTGATTGCTAATGTAAATTGTTCTGCTGGGTTTTGGACTTGCTGAGTGTCCATCACACCTTCTTTCCTTCCAATTTCTCTCATTTGTA